AAGAATTGAATCGTTCTTTAGCTTAGAAATGAGTGGTGAAAAGGAAATATATTTGGGGAGAAGATTAGGATGCCTGAAACATGTTTGGTTTAAGATGCCATGATATTCATGATGTTAGAGTAAGGCAGTTGATATGTTATACATAGAATACATGGAAGATAGGTCTTTGGGGGCTTGAGACATAAAATGTAGGGGAGTTGTCAGAATATGGTGTGTGTGTGTGTGTGTGTGTGTGTGTGTGTTTTATGTTTATTTATTTTGAGAGATAGAGGCAGGGGAGGGCAGAGAGAGGGAGAGTAATCTGAAATTGCCTGTCCGCAGAGTCAAACATGGGTTTGATCCCATGAATCGCTAGATCGCAAGACCCGAGTGGATATCAAAGAGTTGGATGCTTAGCCCCAGCTGATCCCACCCAGGCACTCACTGGTGTGCTTTTTTTTAACAGCAGCAAAATGATGAGATTGAAGATCAACTTAAGACATAAAGTGCTGACTTAGAGAACTAGAAAAAGAACAGAGGGTGCCTGGGCAGGTCTGTTGGTAGTCCCACTTGGCTCAGGTCCTGATTTTGGGTGGTTTGTGAGTCTGAGTCAGCTCCCTTCCCTGCCACAGCTCAGAGCCCGAGCCTGCTCTTCCAGAGCCCTGTGTCTCCCCCCCTCTGCCTCCCCCCCTCCATGTGTTCATGCTCTGTCTCTCAATAATAAAATATTAGCAGTGAGAGGAATGGCTGGGGTGGTAGGAATATGTAAGTTCTCAAACTTTCAGTGCAGATCACTCCATGGTCTCTTGTTAAAGTACAGATTCTGGGATTGCTGTGCATAGGATGGGACTTGAAATTCTCCTTTCTAAACAAGATCCTTGCTGATAAATGTTAAGCTGGACCAAGGGCCACCTAGGCAGTGAGAGGTTATAGAATAGTTATTTCATGGAGGTTTGTTGTGAAAAGTGAAAAGATAAGTAGGGTGGTGTAAGTTGTCTTTACTGTGGGATTTATTGGCTTCCACCAGGTATATAGTGATAACATAGACTGCATCATGGGATGATGTTTATAAAAGCAGAAACCTGTTGTTCCATATTTACTAATCTGTTGGAATTAATATGTTGGCTGGTCAAGACTTCTAGATCAAGGTTTTGTGCCAAAATTAAATTTATATTTTGTATACCCGAAAGTGACAAACATAGATAAACAATTCAAAAAAGTTATGCTTATATAATATATAATAAACATCAGATGAACGTGAATAAAAATAAAATTACTCATTAATTAAGAATTATGCCATATCAGTTTTATTCTTTTGCCTGTTACTCTTTTAATTTTTTATTGTATTGTTTTGAAAAGCTACTTAAAATATTTGCAAAAAATATGAGCAAAATGTATAAATGCTTGTATGGCATATGAGTTTATGGGTGTATCTATCCCTTGTAGGTAGGAACAGGAAATTTTAAGGAGAAACCTGTCTACTTTGCATTTTCACGACTTAGATAGATAGTAGTTCACGCACGATATTGCCCCATTGTGTGAATAAAATTATATTTTACCCAATCCAATTCCGCACATAGATAAAAGTCCTCCTGATTGTTTCCAATCTTTTATAACTAGTAATAATTGAATAATTGCAGAGTTTGCTTTTTTTGTTTTGTTGCCAGAATATTTTGGGATAGATTCAATAGTGGGTTGGCTAGATTAAAGAGAAACCACAAGTGTAATTTTGTTAGATATTGGCAAATTACAAAGTTGAGGTTGCATCATTTTTGTAATTCACCAGCAGTGTATGAGGTAACTGTTTCTATGAGCCTCACCAACAGACAGTGTCATCAGACTGTGATTTTTGCCGATCTATTAGAGAAAAATAAGCCTCACTGTGGAACGGTTTTTTATTTTGATAGTTAATGTTTTTTTAAACTTCAAAAGAGAACAGGTACATGCTTATTTTAAATTTGTGTTGAAAGTACATGTACAGGAAATAAAAGTAGAACACAGCATCCTCCTAATTTTCTCTTTCGCTAAGTTTCATGATCCTGTTATGTCTGATGTGATTGACATACATACAGGCAGTATATGCATATATATACATATGGTGTATATATATTTGCTTTCAAGAATGAGAACGTGTGCTGAGAACTTGGGTGGTTGGGATGGAAGAGACATGGTTACCAAAACCATTTTGTATCTTCTTTGAGTTTTTGGGTGTGGATGTGTTATCCATTTTCCATAAAAATAATGTTAATAAATCACTGAGAACAAATGCAAGTAAAAGTTAGGGGCAATCTCAGATGCTCCCAGGACTGAGATGCATCTGTAGAAGTTAGTGAAGATATTCCCATATTTGAGTTTTGAAACAATGTGGTAGTAGAGTACATTTAGAAAGCATCTTGTAAAATTTGGTTGGGTAGTATTGAGAGAGTGTAATTTCCATTTTTCTGGCTAGAACACATACAGGTCCTAGCACGTCACATATATTGCTTCTTTTTTTTGTTCTTTTCTGTGCAGTGGAGGATACATGGTAATGGCACTTTCAACACTCTGTCCAAGGATTCTCAAAGAGTTTCCACCAAAGATATGCATGGACAGTTTAAAATGGGGCTTGCAAGTACATTTAGAAGGTAAAAAGTTTAAACAAACTTCAGACATGTGTGGTATGTTGTTTCATTATATCATTAATCAAATCAATATAGACTTTAAAAGGAGATTTTGTTTTACCAGAAAATATATCATTAAATGTACATAGGTACTTACTTGAGCATTTACAAATAATTATTGAAAAGGAGATACTATATAGTAAAAATTTCCTTTAACTGCTTTTCTTTTGTAGGATTTAACTTTTTATGTGTTTTTTTTTTTCTTTTTAGTGCTGTATTTGTTTTCCTGTGAGTGCTAGATTTATATTTTATTTTGGGAATCAGTAACTGTAGAAATCTATTCCATTGGATAATCAGTAATGTTTTTGATTAGTAGGGTTAAGATATTATTTACTTTTTACGCGATGTGTAAAAGCATGCAAGGGGTGGAGGGGTAGAGAGACAGAGATTCCTAAGCAGGTTCCATGTCCATACAGAGCCTGATAGCTCCCATCCCATGTAAACGGAACTACATCTGACCTAAGTCAGGTGCTCAACCAACTGAGCTGCCCAGGTTCCGATACTGTTCACTTTAAATTTTGATTTGTAAAAACCCAAAAGTTTAGTGTTATAAAAGTCGTGACATAAAATCACTGCTTGACTTGAACTTCCATTAAATATTTTCATACCTCCATTCATTGAATGTCGTTATGTGTATGGGGTACATAGGGAACAAGAGAGTGATCTCAAGGGATATATATGTACAAAGTGCTTCTAAGAAGAAATCCTAAGTCTTGTGGAACCTGGCTAGTTGTCAATCAGTGGGATGTAACTCTGATCTCAGGTTGGTTGCCCCACATTGGGTGGAAGCCATAATACTAAAAAAACGGCACCTGTGGCTCTGTCGGTTAAGCATCCCACTGCTCAGGTCAGCATCCGCTGGGTCCGTGAGTTTTACACGCCGGGCTCCCCCCCAGCGGACCGCCTTCAGAGCCTGGAGTTATATTTCTGTATTCCCAGCATCTCCCCCTCTCTCCCCTGTTCATGCTCTCCTGTCTCTTCATAGTTCTCTCAAAAATAAATAAACGTTAAAAAAAATTAAAAAAAAAAAAAGAAAACTTAGTTTTGATAGATAAAATTAACATCAGTATAGAATGAAATAACAGTAGAATATAAAGTCCTATAAAGGCTATAGGGAAGAAAATGAATGTATGTAGGACACAATTTATTCTTGGTGATAAATGGTTTCCGATAGTGAGTTACAGTGGTTTTGAAAGATGGTTGAGAATTTGTTTGTTGAGGAAAGCACAGATTAGTGGGATCCCATGTGAGGAAAGGTAAAGAAGTGAGAATCAGTGCAGTATATTTGGGGAAAAACTCAGTGAGAGTGGATGGTTTGTACTACTGGTAAGGGTAAGGGAAATGCCTTAATTATGGTCAGGCTATTGGTGATGCATGTGTGCAGCCAGAAGAAGCAACTGTAAGTTAATAAAGAATAGTGCTTCCATAGTAAAATTTTGTCCGACAAGGCATCACCTTGGTATTCAGTTTGTCAGAAGAAGAATCATAGTAGGAAAAGAGGAATCAGGCTCTTCTAAGCCTTCTTAGATGCAGAAATTGCACAGTGTTAAATTTGGTGTCAGAGATTGGTGAAACCACAATCTTGGTGACAAATTTTCTACAGGGGAAAAACAGAAGATAGTATTTAAGTTTAGAATTAGGACAAGGAATTTTAAAAGGGTATTAGAATTGAGGGTACACACTAAATGGAGACTCTACAGGCAGCTGGAAATAGAGAATAGTTAGGGGTCAGGCTAACGTAAATTTGGGAGTTATAAACCCAGCGTTCACTGATTTCATTATTGTTATTTTTTTTATGTATTTATTTATTTTGATAGAAAGAGTTTGTGTGTGTATGTACATGCACATGAGTGAGAGGGGCAGAGAGAGAGAGAGAGAGAAGTAAGAAGCTTTTCTCATGTCGTCAGTGGAGAAAGTCGGGCTTGATCCTACCTAACCATGAAATGAGATCATGACCTGAGCCAAAATCATCAAGAGTCATGCCACCCACCAACAGGCTCCAGGCTCTGAGCTGTCAGTACAGAGCCTGACGTAGGGTTCAAACCCATGAACTGTACATCATGACCTGAGTCGAAGTCAGATGCTTAACCAATTGAGCCA